AAAATCTAAATATTGAGCAAATCGCCTTTAAAGTTATCCAAATCCTTAGCAATCCATATTACTAATCAAGAATTAAGTTTTGATATGTTTACGGTAGGAAATTGACAAAATATCTTCATGGAACATGATTTTTTACTTAATATCCTAATGATTTTTGGCATAAAAGAAAAATCTATAATTTTGACCCATACAATGTATTTTTGGCTATTGCTACAAATATACCCCAGCGACTTAAGACTGGTTTTGTGGTCCAGGGTCACATATAGCAGCAGCAGCACAAAGTACATTTAGTTGCATGACATTTCAGTGATAAGATAACGCTTAGATGGCAATGAACTTTTTAGGTGAAATTGGCATTTTATTACTTTGCTATTCAATTCAACAGGGTTTATAGAACTCTTCAAAGCGAAATAAGCATTCATTGGTTGTGTTTGGCTATTTAATAAAGGGGCAGTAGCAATTCTAAGTACTTTTGTGCAGCAGTATGCATAGCTATTCAGATCGCATGTTAGCAAATTTTATAGCATGCATAGTAAATTCAGATGCAAGGTTAGCTTGCAAATGTCATTAAACTTCTAATGGATCATGCACATCTTGAAAATCTACAAACTATTTTAACATAGTATGTTATACAATAATTAAAAGCTTTCGTTAATGTACAGCATTTTTGCTGTTATTGAGGTGTGATACAGGTAGAGTTAGGGACAGGTTTGGTGGTATGGGCTGGTTTAAGTGTTGGGTAAGTGGTCAACAGTGTACAGGGGTCAATTTGATTACTATAAGGGAAGACGATTCAATCTGTTTATATTGCATTGTTTTGATAAATGATATTAAATTAAGTATTTATAAACATTTACAAATGATGAATAGTCTCAACTTTAGATTGGGTACTGCAAAAACATGAACAATGATTAATAAATGATTTGTAAAGATGTGAAAATAGGGTGAATTCCGGTCATCTGGGACACTTTTTGGCATCAAAATGACTGCTCATAAAAGTACTAATGATTAGTATATGTTTATAAACATTTACAATTGATGAATAGTTTCCACTTTAGATTGGGTACTGCAAAAACATTAACAAATTATTTATACATAATTTAAGATGCGTAAATAGTAGAAGTCTACACAACAAACAAAGACCAAATATATGACCTTTACAGATTGTGATTATGAGTTAATGAATATATTAACATGAATAGTTTGTGAAGTGCTGAAAATGACTAATTAAGCTATATTTTCACAACATTTGTAAATGTAAAAATGAGCATTAGCTAATATGTGAACTGAAGTTTAATGGAATTTGTAAGAATTCAAAAGTACATTAGCAAATAAACTTGTAATCATTGTATAATTTCTGTTAAAACCATTTGTAGATTTTTAAAACACATTGAAAATGTAATGACGTTTGTAAACAATAACTAATGATCCGTTAAGCATTATATAATGTTTGTTAATGATTTATTAATGAAGCTTTTAATCATTGTAAACCATCTGTCAACATCATTTGAAGATTTAAAAAAAAAAAGCATGATCATATGAATTGAAAGATTGGTGAGAATGGTGACATTTGTAATTATTTCAATTTACATGAAATAATGATCTGTTAATCATATTGTATATTGTTTAATAAGTTTATTAGTTGACATTAACAAGCACATTATCTCATATCTCTAAATATGTGATTATATATTAAGTAATGATTAGTTAAACATTATGTAATGTTTGTTAATGATTTATTAATGAAAGTTATTATAAAGTGTTAACGATAAATGTTATACAAAATTTTGGTCATTTTGATGAATTTGTATAAATTATTCGTCCCTGAAATTTTTCCATGTGTGCACCCCGGAGCACTTCGTATTTATAAACATTTACAAATGATGAATAGTCTCAACTTTAGATTGGGTACTGCAAAAACATGAACAATGATTAATAAATGATTTGTAAAGATGTGAAAATAGGGTGAATTCCGGTCATCTGGGACACTTTTTGGCATCAAAATGACTGCTCATAAAAGTACTAATGATTAGTATATGTTTATAAACATTTACAATTGATGAATAGTTTCCACTTTAGATTGGGTACTGCAAAAACATTAACAAATTATTTATACATTATTTAAGATGCGTAAATAGTAGAAGTCTACACAAAGCTTGCAAATGTCATTAAACTTCTAATGGATCATGCACATCTTGAAAATCTACAAACTATTTTAACATAGTATGTTATACAATAATTAAAAGCTTTCGTTAATGTACAGCATTTTTGCTGTTATTGAGGTGTGATACAGGTAGAGTTAGGGACAGGTTTGGTGGTATGGGCTGGTTTAAGTGTTGGGTAAGTGGTCAACAGTGTACAGGGGTCAATTTGATTACTATAAGGGAAGACGATTCAATCTGTTTATATTGCATTGTTTTGATAAATGATATTAAATTAAGTATTTATAAACATTTACAAATGATGAATAGTCTCAACTTTAGATTGGGTACTGCAAAAACATTAACAAATTATTTATACATAATTTAAGATGCGTAAATAGTAGAAGTCTACACAACAAACAAAGACCAAATATATGACCTTTACAGATTGTGATTATGAGTTAATGAATATATTAACATGAATAGTTTGTGAAGTGCTGAAAATGACTAATTAAGCTATATTTTCACAACATTTGTAAATGTAAAAATGAGCATTAGCTAATATGTGAACTGAAGTTTAATGACATTTGTAAGAATTCAAAAGTACATTAACAAATAAACTTGTAATCATTGTATAATTTCTGTTAAAACCATTTGTAGATTTTTAAAACACATTGAAAATGTAATGACGTTTGTAAACAATAACTAATGATCCGTTAAGCATTATATAATGTTTGTTAATGATTTATTAATGAAAGTTATTATAAAGAGCTACCGGGAGCTAGTCTGCAGATGGCACAATTAGATGCCAGTGTTTCCTGTCATAGTTATTCAAAGATTTGATTGCATTATGATTTAAAATGTGTATTTCACCTCAGAATGATCTCAATTTAACAAGAGGTTAATTCAAGTGATGAAGGATTCTGAAAGCCTGACAGTAAC